CTTTCAACAAAACACTTTTGCCCCTTTATCTAAAATCAGATGGCTTATCAGTTATTACTATATGCTTTTTAAAATATTTTTTAGAAAAAGGTAATAAAAGAAAACAAAAGACAAGAATGAAAATCGAAGATTTCTTGAAAGCATGCAGTAATATTCAACTATATGTCCCATTTGCATATCTGTTAATCAGAGCAACAGATTTGACAATAAAAATAGATAATATATCAATCATTGTTAATCAGCTATTCTTGTTTTGAGAATCTGTAACATATATATCCTTGTATGTTACCCTGTTTCTATGTTTGTTTGTTTTTCTTGCTTTTGTTTTTACTCTGGATAATAAAAGAAAATTATAATAAAAAAATAAATGAAATAAAATCAGGTGACTGAAAGTGCATGGAGTTATTTCAATGTCTTCTTTTTTAAAAGAGAATACAGAGCTAACTTAAAAAATAGAAATGATACAGCATTTCACTGAACAAAATGCTAGGAATTCAGCAGTGGTTGCTTCTGCCTTCTCTTCTATTTGTCTACATGTCTGTGTTTGTGCCCATCTAATGCTATTTTTGCTCCCATAACTTTGTGGTATAACTTGAAATTGGGAATTGTGATGCTTCTGCTTTGCTTTCCCCTTGCCTCCAAAGATTGCTTTGGATATTCTGGCTCTCTTCTGGTTCCATAGAAATTTTATGATTCTTAGTATTTGAATAGAAATTGCATTAAATCTAGCTTACCATTTTTTTATAACATGGTCATTTTAGTAATATGAATGCTACCTACCCAGAAACAAGAAACGACTTTCCACTTTTTTTTTTTTTTTTTTTTTTTTTTTTGCGGAACCAGGGATTGAACTCAGGACATTGCACTTGTCAGGGAAGCGCTTATTATACTGAGCCATCTCCCCGGGGTCCCCGACTTTCCACTTTCTGATGTCCTCTTCATTCTCTTTCTTCAAAGTTGCGTAGTTTTCATAATAAAGATCTTTCGCTCCTTGCTTAGGCTGATTCTAAGGTATTTAAAACTTTAGGCTATTCATACCGATTTGGTAAATTGGGCTTTTGCTTACTCACTATTGAATTTTAATGCTTTATACACTCTATCTTTCTGAAGATATGTGATTGGCATTTGTTTCACGCACTTGACAATTTGAAGAGTAAAATTAATAATTTTGATGAAGTTCTCTTCGTTGATTTTTCTGAGGGTCTTTTAGTATTGTGTCTAGAAATTCTCCCCTAACTCAAGCTTACAATGATTTCCTTCTATATTTTTTCTGGAAGTGTTAAAATTTTATGTTGCACGTTTAGATTTATGATCTATTTTGAGTGCATTTTGTGCACCATGCAAGGACTAATTGAGATTTCCTCTTTCTGTCATATGGACATCCAATTGTTCAATCCTATCTACACAAAAAATGTTGCTTTCATACTGAGTAGCATTTGCACTCAAAGGAACTTTGATGACCAAATTACATATTGTGTTAAAAATTGAGCGTATATGAATCTCAAAGTAAAAGTTCAATAAGCAATAGCTTTAGGGCTGGTGAGATGGCTCAGTGGTCTAAAGCACCTACTTAGAACAAGCTTAGCAAAGCACAGGGACCACGGTTCAATCCCCCAGCACCACATGCCAGCCAGCCCCGCCCCCTGGTGGGCTGAGCTGGCCACACACACACACACACACACACACACACACACACATAAATAAATAAATAATTTTTTTAAAAAATAAGCAATAGCTTTAAGGCCATATTCTTTGTTCCAGAAGTTTTAGGGGCAGAATACACCTTATGTCAGAAGAGCTCTGAGAGGCATCCCATACCTTGTGCATAAAGAAAGCCCCCATTTTATCTGGTCCCAGTGGTTGCCCAAGAGGGAGTTGTGCTCACACAGAGATGTAAACCATGGTTCCCAAAGGGTTACTTGCATGCAAATAACCATACATTTCCTGTAACATGATTAAAGAGAGAAAATACATTTGACAAGTTTTCTTCATCTATTACCAATTGAGGTATAGTGCTTTATAAACATGAGGCCTTACTGTTAGTATTTGGGGGGCCATATTTGGAGACTCTTCACTTGAAGGTTTTGTTTTTATTAATAATTGATTGGGTGCTTCTTCTTAGCTTTTCCCACTGAGAAATTATTTGCTTTGTGTGTAGCACAATTGATTTTGTAAACAGAGCATATTTAGACATAGTTTGACAACAGTGATGGTTTATTTGATGTTATCCTTTAGGAAATATTTATCAAGCTTTTTTGTCTTTGACATTTGAGATACAGAAAGCCAAACAAAGTCATCATGCATTAGAACCAATCCACCAATAGGCATTTAATCTTGTTTATTTTGAGAGGAAAAAAATTAATTCAAAGGGTCATGGTTTAAGGGCAAAATCTCTCCCATGAGTTCAATCTCAGAACCAAGCTGCATATTGTCTGCAATCAGGATTCATGATACCTTTGTTTGTACTAGCACAGAAGCAGGAATTAGGAGCCCTATTTCAGAAAAGTCTGTGTCTGCGAGGTCAACAACCAACTCAGGGTTAAGTAGGAATAGCACCAGGGCACTCCCCACTCAGTCTGTCCAGTCTTTCAGAGAAAGCCTCCTGCCCCGCAGTATTGCTAGGAGTTCTTGTCAGGAGGAAGGGGTCTTCATATGGGATGGTGGAGTTGCCAAGCAAGACAGGGCAGCCAAAAACTGTATTTTCTCCAATTCTCCAACCACCCTACTGAGCAGCACCAGCACTCATACCCTCTTTTCTCTGTATCTCAGCAAACTGCTCTGGCGCCTGGAGCCAACTAGAAATTCAGTGCACTCCAGTTCTGTGAACTAATTTAGCCACAATCACTCAGCTCCTCTCACACTTTGCAATTCAAACATCATTAAGCTGAGATCTTCTGCTTTGGGTCCCACCTGTGAACAGTTCAGAACCAGCATCACATGCTCTGAAAGGTTTTATTGCTGCCTCCCCAGATACCTGATCCACCCACCCTGGATACGCCAGTGCCTGATAGTCACCTATTGTCATGCTATTGGCATCATGCCAATGAACTTTCCCCAGTGCTCCTGATGCCCACACTTACCCCAAATAAAAGCAGCCCTTTTCATTGACTCTGCTACAGATGCTTCCAATTTCTACCTGGAGTCCCTTTACACCCACCCCTCCCCCAGTTCTACTGGCCCATTTTAGTTCCATCTGCATCAACCTGCCTCAAAGTCCACTTTACCCATAGAAAAGCCCAAGAAATACAGGACCAATGGGTCTCATATAATCTCTTGCAAAGTCCCCCTCCCTGCATACTGCTACAAGGATTTCTCTCCATCCCTGAAGAACACCGACCTCCTCAGTACTTCAGGACTTCCAAACTCTCCTTCAGGGCTTCATCCGGCCATTATTATACCTTCCTATCTCGGCTTGAATATCTCCTGCCCAGAAATGTCTTCCTACTTCCTTCTCCAAGGTCCTCCTTGGCCCTTCCCAACACCCATAATATTCTGGCACTGCCTCATGTATATTCTACTTATAGACTGCAAGCTGCCATGAAGGCAGGAACATAGTTGCAGATGTGTGTTACATAACCAAGCAATTGGATACTGCCTACCCTCAGAATTCAGAAACAAGAAAGGTCAGATGTGCAATACGCTTAATTTAGAAGCTATTTCCACTTCCTCTCACTGATTTCTATTCGTATGTTACACATCACTGATTTCTACTAGTAGATTCCCAGAGGGCAGCAAGGTCCTGAAGATGACCCTTTATAGCAGGTACATATTTACTCATTCTCTGGACTCTGTCCACTGCCCTCTCACAAGAGCAGTCTTCCTCAGGGTGTTACCCTCTGGAATTAGGCATTATCTGCAACAAGAGATGGCCCTGATATGGTGTTATGTGTTCCAAAATGATTATAAAATGGTGTGCTAAATATATTCACTGAAGAATGCCTAGAGGGCTCTAATAAATATCTAACTCTTCCAAGTGGAGTAGGCAGGGCTTAGCTCCTGGGCTCTCAGATTCCTCAGCCATGAACAATACCACTAATGTCATAACTGTTCACTCGTTACATTCCAACCAAATGAGTGGTCTGTGGGCTATAACTACAGTGGCTGTCCTGTACTTTCTGAAGCCGAGCAGTCTCAA